AATGTCCTTTATTTCAAATTCGATTGATCGAGTTTATTTTCTTTTCATACAAACATATATGAACGTCGTCGTCCAATTCATAAGTTCTTATATTTTGACTATAAAATACGAATACGAAAATTACAGTATTTATATTAATATATTTGAAAACATTTAATATTCTTCGAATATTTTATTACGGAATGAAAAGTTCCTGCAATATGCCTTAAGGCACGATGACATACACCACTAGTTTACTTTTTTATTCATTATTTATATACCCTTACATCAAATATTTCAATCAAAAGCATTTACTAGCACAATCCACCGTCTTAAATTTGTTTATATCTTTAAGCATCTAATAACTCTAAACTTGACTCCGGAGTGCATGTATAATATAACTGATTCTAACTCGACCGTAACACGAATGTCCATTAACCGCTCTCTCGGCGTGACGCGCGGTTAGCGGGATTGGGGCGGGCGCGCAGACAAATGGTGTTAACATGCAGCCTGCAATTTATAATTAATGGGTGCGAACGGTCCAGGAATTTAATCAGGGTCGCGCAGGAATGTCATGATGATGGTGGACATATAGTAGTATTTACACTAAACAGGCGATTTGATGAAATTTTACCTGAATGTAAGAGGAGGAATATTGTGCTCAGTGGAACCGGATCTTGCAACGAAAAAGTCCTTCATAAGTTATAATATAAATTCATAATTTATGTCGTGTTGCAGTATTAAAATCAATTGCCTTAAGATATTTTGAAAATTAAATTTTGGTTACTGAAGAATAAATATAGATTATCGAATTATTTTCGATATTCAAAAAAAAGAAATACTGTAACTTACCCTACGGGACGTTAATATATTTGAATAAACTAAGCCTTAATTAAATTAGAAAAAAATAATAACGAAAAATTTAATATGAATATCTGTTGTAATAATAAAACTTTTATTATTAAATATATGAAATTATAACAATTGTTAACATATACATACATACTCCCAAAATACTCAAAAACAACTTTTTTTACTAAGTAAAATTAATAAAAACTGAAACTAAAGTCTATTTTGAACGCAAATAAATATTAAAGGCTCTAAACAACAAAATGTATCACTTTTTCTTTTATAAGAAATTAGAAGTAAAATATTTGATATATAAATATATATATATATATATATATCGATTATTAAATTTGGCGTTTTTCATACCTTTAAATATATAAATTTCGATTATTATAGAAGTCCACATATTAAAATTAACTTAATTTTGAAAAAAATATAATGGTCTATAATAATAGAACTTAATAAATATATGGAATTAAGACAATTATTAATATATACACATAAAAAGCTTAAATACTACTTTTTATATCAAGTGAAATTAATGAGATCTAAGCTAATGGGATATTAGACTAGTGAGAATTAAGAAAGCAAAGAAATATTATAGAATGATTATACTAAATTACTTCATCTTTTATAATTTGTGAAATCAACAATTTTCATCCATTTCACATCTGAATATTATTCTATTTTTTGAGTTTCATTGGCTATTTTTGTGTATAAATAAGAACAAGTATTAAAATAGAATTACAATATTCAAGATTTACAATATTTTATAAATTAGCATTTAAATGTATGTATATAAGATTAATTTTTTTTAGATCACTGGCTCTCAACACATTTAATTCAAGTTTAAAATATTTTTAGATATTCAATTTCAATTTTTTAATTTAACTTATATTCTCACATTATATTAACAATAACAAAAGTAGAAACATATAATATAACCGATAAATACGAATTACAATATGTAGTTTCAGAAATATTTATATACTAACTTCGGTGTGAATTGGATTACACAAAAGTGAACAATTAAACACAATATAATAACATTCATATGTGAATGGATAAATTTGTTTGATAATTTAGTTAACAATGAAAGGTTCTAATTTTTTATCAAAGTTTAAGTGATATATTTTGTTGTTCGTAGCTTTTACTATTCATTTGCCTTCAAAATTTGCTTTGGATTAGTTGGATTAGCTTTGTTAGATATTGATTTAAAACAATTTTTATCTCATAATGTAGATCAAAAACTGTACTCGCAAGTAAAAATAACCCTTGGTGATAAAATTTACTAAATTTATATATGAAAATAAAAATTAATGTATAAAATTAAGAACAAAATTAAATCAAAATAAACATTCAATAGATTAGAATATTGTAAGCGTCAGCGTAAAATTACTACAGGAAAAATATATTATAAAAACATTTTGCTTTTATAGATAATCTATATTTGTATAAGATCATGTGAGAGATATTAAGATCATTACATGCTTTAAGCGTTAATCTCAGTTGTTTTAGAAGTTCATTGCATGGTGCTTTTATCGAGAATTTTTATTTCGGATATAAATAAACTTCTAAAACAACAACTGAGATCTATAACTTCGAAAAGCAAAGCATTAAATCGTATTCACATAAATGCATGTAGACAAAACGTAGCGAGACGTAGACTCCGTAGGTCCCAGCATTGTTCTATCAGTGCATCTGATATACGCCCGGGTTCTCGACGTCCTACGCGCTCGCACAGACAAACCGCCACAATAAGGCAGAAGGGTATCTGCGTTCATGAATTCTAGCTAGACTTCTGGACCCAGGAATGAGGTGCTACCTATGTTATACTCACAGAACAGGGACGAACTGAGGGATTTTGAGGAAAACTAAATTGACCACTGAACCCGCGAATTGGATACTAACTAGTTATGTTTACTAAGAAGAATCAAACTAAGAAATTTTGAAGAAAACTAGTTATAATTATACAAAAACCTAAATATGTTCAAGTTTTAATTTGGTTAGAAATATGAACTACATGTGCAATGTGTTGCAGTGCGTAAAAGATGTTTCCAAACACACTCAAATTTCAGTAAAAAAAATACATGATAGTTAAGTACTGACCAGAACAGACGTGTACTGGTTATGAAACATTGTTCAGATGACCACAAAGACGGAAGCAAATAGAATTAGTTATATATATATATATATATATATATATAAGGGTGGTCCTTAATATGGACATTTTCCAATTTTCTTGCTCCCAAGGGCTCGAATGGTTCCAAATTGATAGAAAACAATTCTCTGAAAGTTTCAGCTCTTAATATTAACTTTTAGATAGTGCGCAATTCGATAAAACTTTGCATGGAAATAGCATAGAAAAAAATTCGAAAATTAAGCAAAAAATATTAGGTAAAATTTTTGAAATTTTTTTCCTGCTATTTCCATACAAAACATTGATGGAATTGCGCTCTATTTAAAAGACATAAGGCAAAGACAATAGATCACCAAAATATTTTGGCATTTATAAAATTTGAACTTGAAGGTAGTACTTTGCTTGAAATCAGAAAGAAACGAAAGAACTCAAACTTAGTGTGACGGAAATAATATTTTTCTTTGTTTTAAGTTTTATATATATTTGGTTTATTGATTGATAGCAGAATGAATGTCTACGATAGGCAATCAAAAACTAAAAAGAAACAAGCAAGTTTACTTAGAATTATTATTATATAATAATCTCAAATAGCTTAGAGAAATGTACAAAAGCTATTTGTAAAACGATTTACTGTAGTCTTATACCAAATAATGTATCTAATTGAGATAATGATGTAAAATCACTATCACAATTAATAATAATGCACACAAAGCATGGATTGAATAAGAATAATTTCACTTTGAAAAAAAAATGAGGAAATTCTAATGAGCCTTTGAAAAATGTATTTATTTTTTGCACTGACAATTTACAGAAAAATATTTGCGTTGCCAATAAGGATAATTTTACTTTGCCGACATTGAGTTAATTTTGATGAACTCTTTAAAAATATGGTTTAAATTATTTATCATTCCCAATGCGGCCCTGAGTTTAAAACATTCTAATTTGCAGTTTGTATTATCGAAGATAAGATATAATTCTTCTACCAAGAGAGCAAGAGGCAGTAAATCGTACTACGATAACTGAAGGCACCTAGATGGAACTCTGATAACACTAATATCTCACGTGGCATGCAGATTCGGAGGATTTACTGAAAAGCCAGCCGAATAATAATGTTTGTAACCCCTTAACGTTTTCTGAATAAATATAGTTACGGGATTATTGTCGAAATGTGGTTATAGGGAATTGGATATGAGAAGACTTACCATATTGTAATAAATAAAATAAAAGATACTTAGTAGTCAATGACAAAAATTATGAATAAAAGCATTTTTTTGATTAACAAAAATCATTAATTTCATAAATTAGCTAATAAAGAATGCTAATAAAAATATTATTGAATTAAGAAACCAATATATACGAGTACATATGTTTTCAACGAGAATATTGTGATGCATTTGTAAATTTTAATTCAAGATTTAAAATCATTTATTGTATAAAATTTTATTTGTTTTTTAGATATATTGAAATTGCATTTTAACCCTATCCAGAGTTCGATTTTTTTATGTTTATCTTTATTATAAAGCTAATTATGATGATATTTATTTCATATGTAATTTTCATTTTTCATTCAGTGCATAATTTAATGTTTTTCAAATATTTTAATAGATATCATAAATAACATTATTTCTTTAAACAACAAAAAAAATCTAGATATATTCGATTTTCTATGAAAATTTAGTATAAAATTGTAAAATATATATAATGTGATTTTTGGTCTAATGATGAACATTGAAAAAATTGAACGATAAAAAATCAAGTCACCAATGCAATTTGAATAATTTATTGCATATAAATTAACGCATATATCAAATTTAAATAATACTTTGAATAAATAAACATTTACAAAATGAAGTAATCAAAAAATTTCTTCTCATTCACGTATTTTTTCCGGGGTGACGCATTCTTTTCTGGCTTTTCAACGTCGTGAAAATGAGCATTAAGTAAATTACTTATTTGTAATCAAGTTGATGCATTGTAATTTTGAAAATTATGGTTTCATAAAAGCATCTACTAAATGTGTGCAAGTACTCACCATGATATTAAACAGTATAGAAGACTTGTCAATTTTTTTTTAACGCCAATGTCCCAAGAGGCCGATCAATCTAAACGTTCTCTGTATATCAGTTTATCCTCCCAAACAAACAACAAACCACAAACTAGTGCTGGAAGTGTTCTGAAAAAAAGCAAAATGAATATTAAAATAATGCTAGAACTGAATTATAATTATATATGAATACTTTATAATAATACATGAATTGTATGTAAACAAATTTTATTACACAACTGTTATTCTGGATGTAGATTTAAAAAAAAACAAGTATTACAAACGCAAAAAATTACATTTACGACACTATAAGTCTTACTAATAGCAGTAAGCGAATTTAAATGGAATTTAGTTACTTTAAATTAAAAGAAACTTTAATTTCAAATAAATTTTAAATCAAAAAAATTATTGAGTTTTATGTTGACTAATTTTTTCATAAAAATATTAGGAAACGATCTTTAACTAGCAGATATAACGTACTACCTACTACATTGCCACTATTGTAAAAGTAAAAGTACTATTGGAATAAGCAAATAAAATTTTATTATGAATATTAATCATACCACGCAAATTAATACTAATCAAAATTATCAAAAAGAATTTTTAAATATTTTCAAATTATATTAATCTGCACTTTTCATACTCTGTTTAATATTTACGCAGAATATAAAACCCAAAACCACCCTTAAGACTTCGGTGATTACTGATGACATCCATAGGGTGATATAACCGATGACGGTTTATGTTGACAGCCAATAAAAAACGCAAAAAGTAATATTAGCAACACAAAAATTATAAATAGAATATGTATAAATTGCATAATTTATTTAATAAAATTTCTTAACATTATAATAGTAAAATGTAACATTTCCAACTTCATATAAATAATATTATTTGTGTGTTATAATTTATTCATTGAATAAGGTGTCACAGATCAACGCAGTTGCTTGAGATGTCAACTCGAATAAAAGTAGGAATAAGCGTAGACTCGAAGTACCTCTGGTAAATAACTTATTCAAAATATTTATAATACATCTGATAACACACAAAATAATCGGAGATAGTGTGATACAACATTTAATTTACACAAGAATTAAAAACTGCAGATGTAATTTAATACTAAATCCTTCTTGAAGATTGTGCCTCTGTCACCGATATTAGTATCTGAAACGTATTACATATATAAATCCTTGTTTTTTAACTTCCCGTAGGGTAAGTTATTGTAATGGGCCGAGAATCGAAATTGAAAATTTTTACATTTCTCGACGTTTTGAAAGTTTCTGAACATTTTGGCATACCTCAGAAAAAATGAATGTGTGTGTGTGTATGTATGTATGAATACAATTTTTCGTCCACGTTTTCTGGCGCACGGATCAACCGATTTGAATGGTTCAAAAAACATTCGATTCCTATTGATAGGGAGATGTGCTGATTAGTTTTTGGCAAAGGCAGGTCCAGCCGTTCCAAAGATACGGGGCAAAAAGTGCCGAAAACGGAGCGTCCGATTTGAATAATTCAAAAAATATTTTATTTGTATTGGCTAAATGAACACTGTTCAAATGTTTGGAAAGGCAGGTCCATCGACTTTGGAGATATGGAGGAAAAAGTAAAAAAATGAGCCATTTGGCGGTCAAAAATGAACATTAGACATATGCACATCAAATTATCAGATATTTTATAGAGATTTTAACAATAAGTATAAATTTTGTTTACATTCCTATGAGTTCCGTACCAATGTTTACACGTTAGACGGCGACGCGGCGCTTATGTGCTTTGATATTTCGTCTTTATGCAGTTAACGCAGAACGAATGCTTTGAAAAAAAGTTCAGAATTTCCAAAATATTTCAAAATAAATGATTTAAGATAGAATGATTTAATATGGTTCGAAATTCTATTAAAAGTTTCAAATCATTGATCAATTTTTATTGATTATCATTATTGATTATTTCTAATTATTCGAATTTTGAATTGCGGTACGGGAAGTTCCAGCAATTTGCCTTAAGGCACGATGCCCTAATTGCCTCAAAACAGAATTCCACTTACTATAAGCCAGTAACAGTACAGGAGTTATATATATGAGACATGACAAAGATCACCCCAGTGGGCTACTTCATATTGAACAATTGAGATTGTCTTGATTTAAGTTGATACCATAACATCGTTCAAAGGCTTTTGTTTTGCAGTATTTTGAATTATTACAGCTTAAACCAATTAAATGATTCATAGATACATCGGTTACCCAGCTCTGTTTCCATAAGACGCATGTGTATGTCAGTCGCATCTAGTGGAATCGCTTCGAATTTCTTTTCCGGGTGAAAAGTATGTGAACTTTGTCAGGAGACCGCGCGCCCTGTGACATACGACGTCTCGACATGATCCACGCGGACCCTTGGGATCCACATGAGCGATCACTCATACGAGAGAGACTATAGAGAAAAAAGTTTAGATACGACGAAACTATAGGAGAACTTAGTGATATATTGATAATATAATAAAAATATTGTGAATATCTGAAGGAATTTTTAGTTGTTATGTAATTGAAGGGCTCACCCGTAGGTAAGCGGTTAAGAGCGACGGGACCTGTTTCAGAGGTCTCGGGTTCGATACCCACTTTGAGCAGCCTGTTGTCAGGCAGAAGTGACAAGGATTTTCACTTGGAAATATAGTTAGCAATATGTTTCCAAGTAAAAATAGCCCTTGCCCGGAATTGCTGCACCAAGAAAAAGTCAGCCCTATTAGATTAATTCTAATAACAAAAATCATAAAATATGGATGGATTAACCATTGGGTTACCATCTAAAAATACGATGTAAGGAGAAGTTTCAACCTAACAGCTCATAGGACGTAAAGTTCTGATTGCTGTTAAAAATATATAAAAAAAATGTAATTGAAGTATAGAATTTAAAATATCTATTATTTGCATTAAATGAATTTGTGTTCAATATTTCCTTATCTCGCCTAATATAATTTGCATTATTATAATATAACATAACTTTATAATGAAAAAAAAAAACTTATATATATTTTCAAATCTCTAAACTGCTTATTAATATATTTCAGAAATTTTAATAAAAAACTATATAGATAAATTGTTATAAATATAAACTTCTATCCAGATATTCCAGATATAGAATAGTTCATACTTTTTGCAATTCTTTTTAATAATTCTGATTACTATTGATTTACATGGTATGATGTTTTCGTGATATTAATAAAATGATATAATATCATAGTACAAATCAAGTAATAGACAATATTAGTATACCCGTGGTAATAGTGTTGTATTTGCTATTGAAGGTCAGGTAGTTAGCCAAAACATATGAACATTACGAAAAAAACACATAACTTTTATTAATTAAACATCTGATTCTTAGGACTTCTAGTTTGGCATGTAAGTAAAACTGCAATTATCGACTGTTATGGAAATATTTTATAATTAAAATTTTATATATTATCTATAAACCTAGTAAAATGTATTAGAACAATCGTCAAATGTGCATAATTAAAAAGTATCAACATATTATGTAACTATTTGATAACAAAACAAATTTATTATTTATCACACAATAAAATGTATTGTGTAGGCACGAAGACACGATGGTACTGAGGCAATGATACATTAGTGTCATGTACATAAATTAATGAAAAGTTGAATTATCATAAACTAATACTTAATAAATTTTGATATATAATAGACTTTGTAAGATAGGTATACTGCCTAAAAATTTTGAGACTTAACTTGAGAAGTAATAATAAAATTAATTATATGTTATATGAATGTTATATAACAACTTTAGTCAACTAACAGAATTGGATTTAACGTATAATTCAGAAAAATCGGATACAACCCGTTTTATGGAAAACTCGGAATTGGCACAAATATATACATAATAATAAATGCAACTAAAAATAAGCAACTGTACCGTGCTAGAGGTTAGACAATACTCACTTATCAGACGCAGTTATGAAGGAGCCGATCAAAAGTGTTAATCCACTAACATAAAACTGTCCTGGTTTCTTCGAGACCTCAAACATACGGCGAAAATGACTCGGGCGCATTTTTGGCGACCGAGTCAATACGCCTTTGTTCTCGTCCCAACAAAACGCAGAAACGAAATGAAGGATGCATTGCTATCATTGCCATAATTACAACAAACATAGAGCAACAATGCTGCATGTATAGATAAGTACTTCGGTTGATAAACAAACCACTTGATGTTGTATCAAAATATCGATATATCCATATAAAGTTGATACAATTGCCCTTTTGGCGTAATTGATTTTAATTCCTATTTTTGAAAACTGAGTTGGCGGTATCTTGTGAGTAATAATAAGGGCATGCAAATGATATGTCAAGGTTTTTTTTAACTGAATATTATATAAATATCATAAAATTATTAATAAAGACTTGGTTTGCGGGGAATTTAAAAATAAAACTAGTGGGGTGTATGGCATCGTGCCTTAAGGCCAATTGCTGGAACTTCCCGTAACGTAACGAAATGTTCGAGAAATACTGAATGTAGTAACAAATAGATTATTATTAATATTGTAACATTGTCTAATATTTATAAAAATTATATAAACTGAATTGCAAAGTTCAAATTATTTGTTTCAAGTATATTAGAACTATAGTCAGAATTAAAAATAAAATATGAATTATTTTTGATATACAAATTTTTTTTTTCCAAAATTAATTATTTTGTTAAGACAAGCAGAAAGTTCTTTGAATCATTTAAATCGGACACTTAGTTCTCTCAAAAACTGCCATTTTTTACACATTTAGCTCCGTATCTTCGAAATGGCTGGGCCTGCCTTTGCCAAAAACAAATAAACACTTCTCCCAAACATTACTGATTGAATTTTTCTTAGATCATTCAAATCGGATGCTCCGTTCTCTCAAAAACTCAATTACTATTTTCTGCACTCTTTGCTCTTTATCTCCGTAACTGCTGGACCTGCCTTTGCCAAAAACTAATCAGCTCATCTCCCTATCAATAGGAACCGAATGTCTTTTGAACCATTCAAATCGGTTGATCTGTGCGCCCGAAAACGTGACTGTAAATTTGTATTCATACATACATACACACACACATCCATTTTTTCTGAGGTATGCCAAAATGTTCAGAAACCTTCAAAACGTCGAGAAATGTAAAATTTTCAATTTCGATTTTCGGCCCATTACAATAACAAACCCTATGGGAAGTTAATTAAACGTTTTTGTCACTTTTATGTTTGCTAATTGCTATTTATATTCAGTTGTTTCTATATTAGCTTTATGAAGAAACATTTTTTACCTTGGTCATGCTCTTAATGAATTTTTTTTTTTTAATCATTAGTAATAAATGTACAATTAAAAAGGAATCTAGTAGCAAATAGTATTATACCTTAAAACAGATTTGTGTGATTTGAAAATCTAGTTGGAAATATTTAAACTAATTGCTATAAATCAACGATCAATTTTTATTGAACATTGGTTATTTTATTCTTTGAATGTTTAATTACGATGCGGAAAGTTCCAGCCAAAAGGCAAAATTTTAAACATCTGATATAATAATTCTTTTATGAGCATGATCATCAAATTACTGTTACAAGGTAACAGTACAGATTATGAAATTCATTTTATAAAACGTTGTTTTTAGATAAATTTGGTAAAACAGCATATTTAATATTTAACACGAGATAAAACTGATACTATATGCATATAGTAAGATACAAAATATATCATTTTCAACGTACTGAAATCGTGAAAAGTTGTATTATCATTACCTGATACTTAATGAAATGTTAAAAGCACTGAATAAAAACATGCCAATATCAGATACATGCACATACCAATTCTATGGGCATCTATATGGCAATGTGCATGCAAAACTGTGGTCTTTGATGTGATACTCCTTTGATGTATCTGGTATCAACTTTCCGGCTGTGCGGCGTACACCAGTGTGCCGCCGAATGCAAATATTTAATCAGCGCGTCGCGTGCTGCGCAATGGCCACTCATTAAAACCATGTAAGACCAAAGAAATATTACGAACATCTAGGATAGGGTGATATACTAGAATGTCCCATGGATTGAATTACATAATCAGTCATGTCTTTGTTCGGGATTTTCATTTGTTTTTATTCATTACTGGAGATAACGGACTTATATCACTATGGCTGGAGTAGCTAATGCTAGAGTTGCAAGTTGCAACGAAGACAAACATTCAGTAAAAACTAGTGGGGTGTATGGCATCATGCCTTAAGGCAAACTGCTGGAACTTCCTGTACCGTAACGAAATGTTCGAGGAATACTGAATGTTTTCAAATAGATTATTATTAATATTGTAACATTGTCTAATATTTATAAAAATTATATAAACTGAAAGTTGCAATGTTGAAATTATTTGTTTAAAGTATATTAGAACTATAGTCAGAAATAAAAATAAAATCTGTATTATTTTCGATATATAAAAAATTTTTTTCTCGAAAAAAAAATTGAAAAAAAAGTTGAAACAAAAAATTTTTTTTTTCCAAAATCAATTATTTTGTTAAGACAAGTAGAAAGTTCTTTGAATTATTTAAATCGGACGCTTAGTTCTCTCAAAAACTGCTTTTTTGAACACATTTAGCTCCGTATCTTCGAAACGGCTGGGCCTGCCTTTGCCAAAAACTGATAAACACTTCTCCCAATCATTACTAATTGAATGCTTTTTAGATCATTCAAATCGGATGCTCCGTTCTCTCAAAAACTCGATTTCTATTTTCTACACTTTTTGCTCTTTATCTCCGTAACTGCTGGACCTGTCTTTGCCCAAAAATAATCAGCTCATTTCCCTATCAATAGGAATCGAATGTTTTTTGAACCATTCAAATCGGTTGATCCGTGCGCCCGAAAACGTAAACTGGAAATTTGTATCCATACATACATACACACACACATCCATTTTTTTGAGGTATGCCAAAATGTTTAGAAACCTTCAAAACGTCGAAAAATGTAAAAATTTTCAATTTCGATTTTCGGCCCATTACAATAACTTACCCTACGGAAAGTTAATAAAACGTTACTAGAACATAAATCAATGTATTGAAAAAGATTATGAGTCAAATCAATGATTGTACTATTTTTGATACATTATTAAAGAAAGCAAACCTGTGGCTGTCCGTTCCTTAATTGTGTTGACATTTTAATTTTTATTTTGCAACAGTTGAAAACAAATTTATGATGCATATTTCAAAGTTAAAATATATGTAACTACTACTGTTTTATGAGCTGTTAAAATGCAGTGTGGCATCTTCTCGACAATTACGTTTTTCAGAATGCAACTCAATAATTATCTTACACACATCTGATACATTCATATTATTAGATTTTTTCCTTTACTAATAATTTTTTAATTTCAAGCAGCAGTGCTGTTGAAAGTATATTTTTCATTTAGAAACATATTTAGATCTTATTTTTAAGTGAAAATAGACACCTTGTTGATCCTGGAACCCTGCGGTTGCAAGGTAAAATCGGTAAGGCCTTAAGATTTATCATACATACTTTTGCAGCAGACATAGGACCTTGAAATATACATATTTAAATTTGAAAATTTGATATGAACATATTATTTATTTTAATAACAATATAATATTTAAAAGAAATAGTAGGTAAAGACTAATATGGGCTCGCCCGGAGGTAAGCGGTTAAGAGCGACGGGACCTGAATCAGAGGTTCCGGGTTCGATACCCACTTTGAGCAGCCTGTTGTCAGGCAGCAGTGACAACGATTTTCACTTGGAAATATAGATAGCAATATATTTCCAAGTAAAAATAGCCCTTGCCCGGCATTGCTGCGCCAATAAAAAGTCAACCCTATTAGATTAAATCTAATAACAAAAAATCATCAAATATGGATGGATTAACAATTGAGTTACCATCTAAAAAATACGAAGAAAGGAAAAGTTTCAGCCCAACAGCTCATAAGACGTAAGGTTCTGAGTGCTGTTAAAATATATTAAAAAAAAGACTAATATGAGTTAAATCATACATACTAATATTTGAAGCAATACTTTTTGTCATCTATAATAATATTTTATTATCAACATATTACAATCTGAAACATATTGTTGATTAAATCCATACATCGATCAATTACGCAACTTTGTCTATTTCCTAAAGGAATCTATTTACGAATGAACACGAATATTAAAAGTACAAAATTTCTTTCTAAAATTCACACGAGAATTTTAAAAGCTGTGTTCATCGAAAACGAAATGGTCAGTCCAAACCGCCAATTTCGGCCAAAGTCATTTATTCATTGTTGTACATGAAATGATTACAAGGTACGGTCAACCAAATATCAACATCTCGATGCATAATTGATAACGCAATATTTGATTGAATCACAACGATGTCCCTTATAGCTTCCACTCGTAATTACATGAATTTATTATTAAGGTACACCTGCTCTCTCAACATTGCACGCACTCTGGAAAAGAGTATTTTAGTAATGAAGAAGTATTAGATGATTACAATTAGGGTTGTTTTATGACAAAAATTATATGTATTATGCATATTAGAGCGATGTGGTAATAATTACGAAATATTAAGGCTAACAAAAAAGAATTTACAAAATTTGGATATGGATTGGATGGCAACTCTATCAGAATTAAAAGTGAAACATTTAGCAGTAACTGGGCTCGCCCGTAGGTAAGCGGTTAAGAGCGACGGGACTTGTTTCAGAGGTCCCGGGTTCGATACCCACTTCGAGCAGCCTGTTGTCAGGCAGCAATGACAACGATTTTCACTTGGAAATATAGATAGCAATATGTTTCCAAGTGAAAGTAGCCCTTGCCTGGCATTGCTGCACCAATAAAAAGTCAGCCCTATTAGATTAATTCTAATAACAAAAAATCATCAAATATGGTTGGTTAACCATTGGGTTACCATCTAAAAATACGAAGTAAGGAGAAGTTTCTGCCCAACAGCTCGTAGGACAAGGTTCTGATTGCTGTTTCTAAAAAAAAAACTTGCAGTAACTGATGGAAGAAAGTATAGATAAGTATGCTTTCAAATGCCCATTTGGAAGTTTCTACGAAAAATTGGAATATCACTGGTATTAATGAGAGACTGCCAGGT